GACCCCTCTGCGCTCCGGCCCCCCCTCTTTCGGGGCCTGCTCCTCTCAGAAGAGGCAGGCCAGCCCAGCATCCAGAGGCAACGGACCCAGGGCATCCTGATCTGAGCGACGTCTTGACCGCTTGCGCACGCAATTGGCTTTCAAGACCCCCCCCCTTTCTGGCAAAACGATGACGCTCCGGGCCCCCTGGATGCGTTATTCCGGCACCCTGAAGGTCAGCCTGGGGGGCTGAGGGTGGGCCTAGGGGGCCGAAGGCCAGGGTGCTGAGGGTGAGCAAGTGCTGAGGACGAGGTGGCTCCCTCCTCGGGCTCTCGGCCGTCAAGGCGCCTCGGAATCTGTTCGGGCCTCCGCAGCTTGCCCTTTTGGCCCCATCCTCGGGCCAGACAATTTTCCTTCCTCCGCCTCCGCAACCGTTCTGGCCCAAGAGGGCCCAGAAGCGCTCAATTTCTAACCGAGGCTTCCGCTCCGCAAATGCTCCCCCTGTCAGGGATCCGACAGAGGTACTTCCGAAGACGGTACTTCCGAAGGCGTCTGGCAGCATTGTTGGCGCATCGTGTGCTCACTCTCGTCCAGCCTCCTGCTCCTGCTCCTGTTGCTCCCTTCGTCGTCCCTCGTGTTTCCTGCCCCCTCCCGCCGCCGACGGGGGCGCGCAACGACCCCTCTGCGCTCCGGCCCCCCCTCTTTCGGGGCCTGCTCCTCTCAGAAGAGGCAGGCCAGCCCAGCATCCAGAGGCAACGGACCCAGGGCATCCTGATCTGAGCGACGTCTTGACCGCTTGCGCACGCAATTGGCTTTCAAGACCCCCCCCCTTTCTGGCAAAACGATGACGCTCCGGGCCCCCTGGATGCGTTATTCCGGCACCCTGAAGGTCAGCCTGGGGGGCTGAGGGTGGGCCTAGGGGGCCGAAGGCCAGGGTGCTGAGGGTGAGCAAGTGCTGAGGACGAGGTGGCTCCCTCCTCGGGCTCTCGGCCGTCAAGGCGCCTCGGTATCTGTTCGGGCCTCTGCAGCTTGCCCTTTTGGCCCCATCCTCGGGCCAGACAATTTTCCTTCCTCCGCCTCCGCAACCGTTCTGGCCCAAGAGGGCCCAGAAGCGCTCAATTTCTAACCGAGGCTTCCGCTCCGCAAATGCTCCCCCTGTCAGGGATCCGACAGAGGTACTTCCGAAGACGGTACAGCGCGTGGCTCCAGACGGACGTCGGGGAGATCAGGATGGTGGTCCTCAGCGAGCCTTGTCTATTCTGCCCCGAAGTAAGCTGGCTCTATCCTATTCCACCGTAATACATTATATTATACTATATTATGTTATATTTGCTTATATCGTATTATCCTATGTTATAGTATAACATATTATATTGTATCATGTTATAATATACCAGATTATGTTATATTACATTGTACTATATTAATTGATATTATAATATATTATATTATATATTAGTATAAAAATACTATGTTATAGTATAGTGTAGTATATTACGTTGTGTTATATTATACTATTATATGGTATGATAGTATATGATATGTTATTATATTATGTTATAGCATATCATATTATATGATATTATGTGTTAATATATGTTATTGCATTACATTATAGTATATTTGATACGAACTACTACGTTATCTTATATTATACTATAATATAATATATTATATTATATGCTATTGTATCATATAGTAAATTATATCATAATATTTTGCATCATACTGTATGCTATGATATTGTACTATGCTATATTACCTTACATTATAATATATTATACTATAATATATTATATTATATAATACTACATTATATTATAATATGTTATATTGTATTATATTATACCAAATTATATTATATTTTATTCTATTATATTACATTATACTACATTAGTTTATAGTATATTTTGCATTATTATACTCTTTTATAGTATATCATATTACATTATATTACATTATATTATATTATACTGTATTATATCATATCATATGATATTATAGTATATAATATTATTTAATATTATGTTTTATTCGAGTATATTATACTATAGTATATTGTGTTATATTAAATTCGATGCTTGTTCGATTCTATTCTGTTCTACTCTAGCCCTCCCAACTCTCGCGATCGCCGTGCCCACGCGCGGGCCCCGAGCTCTTCGTTTCGGCGGTGCCGGGGGCGGAGATGACGCTGCGGCGCGGGGCGGGGGCGGCACCCTGGGATGGACCTCCCTATAAAGACAGCCGAAGGCATCAACTTCTCACAGCGGACTGCAGTAGGAATCCCATCGGACATGGAGGAAGAGATAGTTTTAGACATGTCAGTCTCCAACACATGGTTTTTTGTATTACCCCTGTCAGATTCTCTCTCTTCTGTTCTATCAATTCTATTATGTTCTATTATATTCTATTCTATTCTATTCTGTTTTAGTAGATTCTGCTCTCTTCTGATCTATTATGTTTTTTCTGGCCACTATCCTTTGATTCTTCAGTCCCAGTCGAGCAGCAGATCGACGTCTTCGCCCTCAGGGCGTGAAGTGAGCCTGACCTCAGGGCCGCCAGGGTCGTCAAGGCCACTCAGGCACCGCAGGGCTGTTTGCGCAGGGCCGCAGACATGGGGGCAGGGATGCGTCAGAGTGCGAGGGAGGAGGGAGACGGACAGCAAGGGACATGATCAGGCCTTGTTCTCTCAGATCATTGTTTTGTTTTTTCCGTTATTTTTTTAAAAGATATGTATAAATACAGTTATTGATTTATTGTGTTTTCAGAGATTAGAAATCTTTAGCAGTGGAGGACGGCCACTTCTAGTGGGTTGTTTTTTGTTTCCCGACGGCCAGTTCTCAACGCAAGCTTTTCCAGCGCAGGTCTGCCTCACCTCAGTCTACCTCTGGCCCCCCGGGTCAACTCTCGGCGCAGCAGGCTCAGCGCACCCAACCCAGCCTCGAGCGATCCCGCCGCCCCAGTGCGAGTGAGGAGCACAGAGGCGGGCTCGGCTCTCGCTCGAGGTCAGCAGCTCAGCTTTCAGCTCTCGGCGAACCATCAGCCATCCTCACCACCAGGTTCGCGACAACTCTCTCCTCCACCAATTGCTCATATTCAATCCTGGTCAGAGTCAACCACACTCAGACTCACTCCGCCCAGATTTGTCCCTCTCAGACACATGCGCATTTAGGCGAACTCGCGCTCATAATCAGGCCCCAGTCAGGCATCGTACCATAGTTAAAAGTCAGACGCGCTCGCACTCGCTCGCACTCAGGCACAATCGGATACACTTGCACGCACTATGACACTCGTTTTCACATGCACTCACACTCACACTCAGACACGTTCGCACTCAGGCGCACTTGTTCCATTTGCTTTGCTCCCAGCCCTTCTCAGAGCCTCTCTTTGTCGTCTCACATGTTGCTAAAATTATCGCCCTGCTAAAACGGGGCATCGGGACTTGTTTCTAAGCGGTGCTAGCGCTAACTGCCATGTGCAGTTTCTGCGAGATTGCTGCAGCCTTCCATGCCGAACGCAAGCCCGAGAAACCCAGGGCGCCCTGACAGAACAGAGGGTGTTTCTTGTCATGCTCGGGAGCAGCCAAGAGGGGGGTGTCCAAGAGGGGGGGGTGCAAATCATGACCGGCGCCATGTGCGCGGCCCAGCGGGGGGGCCAGGGACGCAATGAAATAAGAAGAGGCGCCCTGAAATCTGGGGCAATAGCATGGACCGCGCCATGATTTCCACCCCCCCCTAGTCATCCCCCCCCCCTCTCTTCCGCCCCCGACATGCGCTCCGACTGTTCCCCGGAGGGCCGTTTTTTTCATCCCGAGCCGTCTCTTGACGGCCCCTGGGCCCAGCGAGGGCCCCTCAGAGGCCCGACGACGACGAGCATGCTCCGCCTCGTGTTCTCCCACACGTGGGAGAGGTCTGGGCCTGAAGCCTCCAGCTCCCTCCCCCCCCCCCCCTCCCTTTCCCCGGGCTTGTGAGACCGAGCGCCGACGGGCGGGCCGCTCCAGGCAGAGGCGGCGAGCGAACAACGCTCACACACACACACACACCCATACCCATAGGGAGGTCGGAGGGAGGCTGGGTCTGGGCGCGGGCTGTCGGACCCCTGGGGAAGATCCCGTTCAAGCGGGGACCCACACCTGACAACTCGCACCCATAGGCCTGTCCGTCCCCATTGTGGGTATGTGTGTATGTGTGTGTATGTTTGTGTGTGTGCTTGTGCGCGTGTGTGTATGTGTGTGTGTGTGTGTGTGTCTGTGTGTGTATGTTTGTGTGTGTGTGTGTGTTGTTCACTCTACTAACTAATTAACACCAGACTGCTGTCGCGATTCAACTCCTGGCGTCGAGCTCGCTCTCCTGGATGCACTTTGGCTTTGCAGTGCCTCCTGTTTCCCACCACCAGCACCACCGACTGTCTGCACGGCCGTGACCCTGTCTGGACTCTTTCATCACGGCGCGCTCGACTAAGTTCGTCCGCGCTTGGCACCTCCGTCGGCCGACGGCGCCTGAGGTTCCTCTGCGCCACCAGCTGAAAACATGTGTGTGCGTCGTGTGTGTGTCTTGCGTGTTTGTGTTTGTGTTTGTGTGCGTGTGCGTGTGCGTGTGCGTGTGCGTGCGCGTGCGCGTGCGCGTGCGCGTGCGCGTGCGCGCGCGCGTGTGTGTGTGTGTGTGTGTGTGTGTGTTGTGTGTGTGTATGTGTGTGTGTGTGTGTGTGTGTGCGTGTGCGTGCGTGTGCGTGCGCGTGTATGTGTGTGTGTGCTCTTGTGTTGTGTGTGTGTGTGTGTGTGCGTGCGTGCGTTGCGTGTGCGTGTGTGCGTGGCGTGTGCGTGAAAATGTGTGTGTGTGTGTTGTGTTTGTGTGTGTGTGCGTGTGCGTGTGCGTGGATTGTGTGCGCGCGTGTGTGTGTGTGTGTGTGTGTGTGTGCGTGTGTGTGTGTGTGTGTGTGTGTGTGTGCGTGTGCGTGTGTGCGTGTGTGTGTGCTGTTCGTTCGTCACGAGGGGCCAGGCGTGCCGCCGCTGCGAATCCCGCTCAGAGGTACGGCAAGTTCATGGCCGGCCGCAGCGGGCTCCGGCTCCGCGCGCCGGCGCCGCCGCCTGCCAGGAGGAGGAGGGGGAGGAGGAGGAGGAGGAGGAGGAGGAGGAGGAGGAGGAGGAGGAGGAAGAGGGAAAGGAGGAGGAGGAGGAGACGGAGGAGGAGGAGAAGGAGGAGGAGAAGGAAGAGGAGAAGGAGGAGGAGGAGGAGGAGGGTGCAAAGGTCGTCTGGGCCTCTGGTTCCCTCACATCCTGCGCGCAGTGGAGCGACCGTTGGCTTGGGCAATCTCCCGCCTGTGGGGGCTCCTTACCGTCGGGCCTGGGCCAGAAGAGCATCCTCCAAGAACAATGGGGCCCCCCGTCGGCCGAAGCACACAAAGAACATCCAAGCGTACCCTCCCCAGAGTGCACAATCAGACCCAACACGCACGAAGAGCATTGGGCGACCCTTCGCGAATCGACCTCGACCTTATACCTCGGTCCGGCTATGCTGGAACCCAGGACAAATCAGAGAACGGCTCGGCGTCCAAAACGACTACCCGAGATGGGAAAGCAATCCCCGGGAGGGGTCCAGAGCTCTGGGTAGTCACGGTGTGAAAGTTACCCTGGCGCGAGACCCAACCAAATGCAATTGTGAGTGCCGCGCTGTGGGTACCAACCGCTTTCAATCAAGCTCCCTTTGATGCCACGAGACGTGTGAGGGGTGTGCCGAAACGGGTCTGGTGGTGCCATGCAGGCGCTGCCATTGGGGCCTTGGGTGGAGCCCGCTATGGGGCCACGAAGCGTACGAGGGGGGTGCCGAAACGGGCGCGGTGGTGCCATGCGAGCGCTGCCATTGGGGCCTTCGGTGGGGCTCCCTATGGGGCCATGGAACGTGTGAGGGGTGTGCCGAAACGGGTGCGGTGGTGCCATGCTGGCGCTGCCACTGGGGTCTTCGGTGGAGCTTCCTATAGAGGCACGAAGCATGTGAGGGGTGTGCCGAAACGGGTGCGGTGGAGTGATGCGTGCGCTGTCACTAAGGCATGTGGTGGAGCCCGCTATGGGGCCACGAAGCATGTGAGGGGTTTGCCGAAACGGGCTCGGTGGAGCCATGCGGGCGCTGCCTTGAATAGAAATCCGAATGGGGCAACGACACGTGTGAAGCGTGTGCAATACGCGCGCTGCCACTGGCGCCTTTGGGGGAGCTTTCTGTGGGGCCACGAAACATGTGAGGGGTGTGCCGAAACGGGTGCGATGGTGCCATGCGGCCTTCGGTGGACCTCCCTATGAGGCCACGAAGCGTGTGAGGGATGTGCCGAAATGGGTGCGGTGGTGCCGCGCGGGCGCTGCCATTGGAGCCTTCGCTGGAGCTTCCCATGAATGAACGAAGCGGGGAGGGGTGTGCCGAAACATTTACACGCGGAAGGCAGAGGCACGGATGGGAGGAGGGAGGAGCAGCGAGAGGAGAAGGAGGAGGAGGAGGAGGAGGAGGAAGGCCAATGTAAACCCAACACCCCATCAGCGATGTTGGAATCCACCCGCCGTCCAAGCTCCCCCTTCACAAGCCCCTACAGAAATTCACTCCCACTGAAGGAATGGACCCGTTGGGGGGCAACCGTGTAAAAAATCTGGAAGTGTGCCAAAACACCAATCTCAAGAGTTCAACGCCACGAGTTAACCTGACTGTTACGTATTGGCGATCTTGAATCGTCCCAGAACACCATTCCTGGGACTTCAGCACTCGTATTCTGACAGTCCTGAACCATTCCAACACACTAGCTCTGGTACGTTAGCGCTGAGAACCAACTAACAATTTGTTAAGGGCTAAAACGACTGTGCGTAACGCTAAAACGATAACCGCAATTTTAAAACCCACATGTTGGACACGAACCGCCCTCGTTCCGTAACATTATTGCACCTTTTTAAAGCGAGTGTGCACGGCGCTGAATCGAAAACCGCATTTTGGAATCGACACGCGCTTAATCAGTTAAGTTATTGCAACATTTGAAAAAGAATGTGCGCGGCGCTAAGGCGCGAACCACCTTTTGAAAGCGACCCGCCCTCAATCGGTGAAGCTCTTGTAAATTTTGAAAACGAACGCGAGAGCCACATTTTGAAAAACGACCCACCCTCGATCTGTGCAGATGTTGTCAGTTTTAAGTTTCAAGCTCATGAGTGGTGAAACGCCCGATCGGAACGCCCGGCCCGCCCTTTCGACCGGCCTCGGGGTGCGACACGGAGGAAGGAGTTATCTAGAAGGAAAAATGAAAGAGGTGGGACGCGGGGCGCTGTCTCTTCAAACCGAGGACCCGACACCGCAGGGTGGTCGGGAAAACACAGCGATGTCGGATGTCTGGTGCTGCAGGACGTACGCCAGCACAGGTCAACCCATTCCAATCTCTTCGACCCATGGAGGCTCGAGGCCGTTTTCTGGTACTGGAGCGCAAAATTAGCCTGGCGAAGGACCCAACCATATGCAGTTGTGAATGCCGAAGCTGTGAATATCTTCTTCGGTTGCGCTCCCTATGGGGCCACGAACCGTATGAAGGGTGCGCCGAATTGCGTGGCGGGGTACACAGCACGAACGAAGACGATAGGTCTAATTACGAGAGAGTGAGTGCGGGTGGGCCTGAGCGCGAATGAATCTGAGTATGAATGAGTCTGCGTGCGAGGGAGCATATTTGCATGAGTGCGAGCATGGCCACGCCTGGTGTGTATATATATATATATATATATATACACGAATGTGAATGGTTCACGAATGCCTGACCCTGAGTACTCTGAGCGTGGCCGCCGCAGGAAGCTTCCCCTGGAACCCCGACAGCAGCGCCCGCACGCCGCAGCACCCATGTCGGCACGCTCCCCACGAAGGTCGCGCCCGTTTCCTTCCCGTTCTTGTTCTCCTCTTTGCCCGTGCACGCCCATGTCCAAGGCTGCGGGCGCGGCGCCGCACGGAGTCCCCGCGACGCGCGTTGGTCGCCCTGGAGGGGTCACGGCGACGCTCGCGCGGGTCGTCCGCTGCGCGGAGCAGAGAGAGATAGCTGGCTGGCCGGTAGCGGGCAAGGCTGTGGCCGCTGGGCAGAAAGACGACGGGGGCGAGCGAGGCTCTGGGCAGAGCGCAGCGCAGAATTCCCGTGTGAGGGGTGTGCCAAAATGGGGCGGCGGCGCCATGAGAACTGCGCCACTGGGACCTTAAGCGGAGCTCCCTGTGGGGTCACGAAACGTGTGAGGGGTGCCAAAATGGGGCGGCGGCGCCATGCAAACTGCGCCACTGGGACCTTCGGTGGAGCCCCCTCCTGGGGTCACGAAACGTGTGAGGGGCGTGCCAAAATGGGGCGGCGGTGCCATGCGAACTGCGCCCTTGGGACCTTAGGTGGAGCTCCCAATGGGGCCACGAAACGTGTGAGGGGTGTGTGCCAAAATGGGGCGGCGGCGCCACGCGAACTGCGCCACAGCGACCTTAGGTGGAGCTCCCTGTGGGGCCACGAAACGTGTGAGGGGTGTGCCAAAATGAGGCGGTGGCGCAATGCAAGCGCCACTGGGATTTTAGGTGGAGCTCCCTGTGGGCCACGAAACGTGTGAGGAGTGAGCCAAAATGGGGCGGCGGCGCCATGCGAACTGCGCCATTGGGATGTTAGGTGGAGCTTCCTATGGGGCCACGAAGCGTGTGAGGGGTGTGCCAGAATGGGGCGGCGGCGCCACGCGAACTGCGCCACTGGGGCCTTAGGTGGAGCTCCCTGTGGGGCCACGAAACGTGCGAGGGGTGTGCCAAAATGGGGCGGCGGCGCCATGCAAACTGCGCCACTGGGACCTTCGGTGGAGCTCCATGTGAGGTCACGAAACGTGTGAAAGGTGTCAAAATGGGGCGGCGGCGCCATGCGAACTGCGCCACTGGGATGTTAGGTGGATCTCCCAACGGGGCCACGAAACGTGTGAGGGGTGTGTGCCAAAATGGGGCGGCGGCGCCACGCGAACTGCGCCACTGGGATCTTAGGTGGAGCTCCCTGTGGGGCCACGAAACGTGTGAGGGGTGTGCCAAAATGGGGCGGTGGCGCCATGCGAACTGCGCCCCTGGGACCTTAGGTGGGGCTCCCTATTGGGCACAAAGCGTTGTAATTTCAGGGGTTACAAGTGCGTGGTCTATAAACCTCCTGGGAACCCCCAAAGCCTAGAGCCGCCAGGACGCGGCACATCACGCAGGGTTTCCCCTGTCAGCCCACAGGAGTTTCAGCGCACAGCGCCTCGTAAACCAGGGTAGGGGCGTTTTTTTTCTGCCCTTGAATACTGTGAAACGCAGGGAGGAGGGAGGAAGAGGAGGAGGAGAGGAGGAGGAGGAACGCGGGGCACCGTCTCTTCAAAACGAGGACCCAACACCACAGGGTGGTTGGGAACAACGACGTCGGGAGTCGGGAGTTGTTGTTGCGTCCCAAGGCCAGAAAACGGCCTCTAGCCTCCAGACGTCAGACACGCACAGACGGGAGTTCCAGGACCTGAGATGCACATCTGTCAATCTCCGCGCCGAGCACAAATGTTGACGGCCTTCTGGTCGGAAATGGCCTCCACATTGATCTAATCCTTAGCCATCGGGTTTCTTGTAGTTGAGCGACCCCCTGGAACCCCTGGATCTGAGGGTCGCCCACCATCTCCTGCTCCTCCTCCTCTTCCTCGTCTTCCTCCTCCTCCTTCCGAGATGTCCGACGATACAGTCGGGGCGTTGACCTAAGGAACCCCAAAGAAGGAACGAGGTCTCTTTTTCCCATAAGTTCAATCTCGATTTCCCGTGGAAAACCTCAGGAAAGCCCGAGGCAAACTTTGAAACCTTCAAGGAACACCGAGCCCCTCCCCAACGAAAAGGGTTCCTTATTCAGCGCCCCGACTGTATGGCCCAGACGTCTCGACCTCTTCCCGAGGCAGGTCCAGGGCTCCATGTCCAGTGTTGGATGCCCCCAGGACCCTTGAGAACGGCTCCTCGAAGGCGAATTGGGGGAGACGCGCCGCGGTGGAAGACAGCAAGCAGCCGGAGGTCTGGGCCCCGTCCTCCTCCCTCCTCTTCCTCCTCCTCCTCCTCCTTACCCTCCTTGTCC